TTTGGTGCAACATTTACATTAAATCGGACGAAAATATATATGGGAGCTATATTTAAATCTCAACCGATTTCCCGAAACTGAACACACATCATTCTAGACCTAATTCAGTACACTATACAAGATTTCGTACAAATCGAAAGATATATAGGGAATTTGGTGGACCATTTACATTAAATCGGACGAAAATATATACCGGAGCTATATCTAAATCTGGACCGATTTTCAGGAAACTTAACACACATCATTCTGAACCTAATTTATTACGATATGCCAAATTTCGTGCAAATTGAAAGATATATAGGGACTTTGGTACACCATTTACATTAAATCGGACGAAAATATATATGGGAGCTATATTTAAATCTCAGCCGATTTTCACAAAACTGGACACACATCATTCTAGACCTAATTCAGTACACTATACCAGATTTCGTACAAATCGAAAGTTATATAGGGTATTTGGTGGACCATTTACATTAAATCGGACGAAAATATATATGGGAGCTATATCTAAATCTGGACCGATTTTCAGGAAACTTAACACATATCATTCTAGACTTAATTCATTACGCTGTGCCAAATTTCGTGCAAATCGAAAAATATATAGGGTTTTTGGAGGACCATTTACATTAAATCGGACGAAAATATATATGGGAGCTATATCTAAATCTGGACCGATTTTCCGGAAACTTAACACACATCTTCCTAGACCTAATTTAGTAAGCTGTGCCAAATTTCGGGCAAATCTAAGGATATATAGGGACTTTGGTGCACCGTTTACCTTAAATCGGACGAAACTATATATGGGAGCTATATCTAAATCTGAACCGATTTTCTCGAAAATTGGCACACATAATTCTGGAACTAATTCAGTACGCTATGTCAAATTTCCTGCAAATCGTGAGATATACAGGGACTTTGGTGCACCATTTACATTATGTATGGGAGCTATATCTAAATATAAACCGATTTTTCCCAATTTCAATAGGGTTCGTCCTTGGGCCAAAAAAGTGAGCTGTGTCAAATTTCATCCAAATCGGATAATAAATGCGACCTGTACTTTGTTTACAATTTAACATGGACAGACAGACGGACAGACGGACATGCATAAATCGATTTAAAAAGTGATTCTATGCATATTCTCAAAAGGAACCATGTGTCTATCTCGTTTCCTTTTGCCTGTTACAAACATATGCACAAAGACATAATACCCTGTACCACAGTGTGGTGAAGGGTATAACAAGATGATCGCATTAAATTTTATTAAATTTCTTTTATGGTCAAGGACGGCGCCTATAATCTTCGGTGATGTTGAGATGATATTTAGGGGGTACAATGAGCCGAAAACATAATTTTTGTCAGATATGCCATCGCATATTTTACACGGAGCAGAGGATCAGACCATATACTTTTTTTATGATATAGATATTTGCCTCGGGAAAACAATATTTGGAAAATATGTCAGGGTTAGAAAGAGGAGCTGTTGACATATAATTGGACATGGGAATATAAATATTGCAAAATATTGTCCTTGTTCAGAATATAGTTCCGAAGAAACTTAGACTTCAGACTGGTAGTTATGTAGGGTATCATATGGTCGGCCTCGTCCAACTATACTACTCCGCTCTCTGCTTTCAAATATTTTTAATGACTCATAAGAGGGTGGATTTTATACACTCAGCCTTATGGCTGTTGAGGGTATATAAACATTAATACGGGAAAAATGTGCCTAATCAAAATATGGATTTTAGACGCCATGTTTCTTTGAATCAATCCGTTTCATACACTTTGGAGACGATTTACAAATGTCTGTCCATCTGTCTCCCAAAGGAAGTAACCGATTTCGCCATAACTCTAGTTTAGTAAAAACGATCAGTTTTTTCTGATATTTTTCCGAGGTAAGTATTTTTACCCTAATTATGGAGTTATATTTTTTTCCTAATTATGGAGTTATATTTTTTACCCGGTTATTTTAACCGGAAGTTTGGGCACCGGTACCCAGTTATAGCCGGTTCTACGGATCCGTTTAATATAAAATAGGTATAATTTTAAAGCTTATATCTTTCCATTGAGTGGTGATATGATGGGGTTATCTAAAACCGTTTTGGAGATACAGTCAAAAAAACTGGGTTTTGGACTCCCTAAAAGTCGAACCTGGATCCATTATGGTCCCCCTCCAATCCTGACTACAATGATAGAACACAATTTGCCCTTTCCAAAATGGTGGATTTCTGCCGAAGGCCTGTCACCCAGACCCAGGCTGCAGGCCGGCAAACAAAAAAACGCATTTTATTTAAAAGGAGATTCTGTCATGCAGAAATAATTTCCTTGTTTTTATAGGATGAAGTCCATCAGAGCGTAGATTTTCAAAAATTGTTTTTTAAGACCCAGTACAGCGTTGAGTATGTAGAAATTAGTTTTTAAAGCCCAGCTGAAAGATGATTTTCTAAAAATTATTTTTTAAAAAAAGAAATTTTTTTGCAGACCCATCAGAGCATAGATTTCTTAAGAAATTTATATTTTTTTGAATACCCACCTAAGTGTAGATTAAAACCAGTGAGCGGAGCAGTATAGTCGGACGGGGCCGACCATACGATACCCTACACAACTACCACGGAACTCAAATTTTCTGCGGATGTTTATTCCGAGCCTGGGCAATATTTCGTGATATTTGCACCCTCTTGCCCGATAGAGGTAAACAGCACCTCTTCCTCACACTGGCATATTTTCCGAATATTACGAGTATTCATTACAGCTATTGTCCAGATTTCCTTCACCGTGGGTTGTGTTGTGATGTTCGGCTTTCATTTCTGGTCTATAGATCGCCTCGAAAATAACACAAAAAATTAAGTTTTCGGTCCACTTCATTCCAAAATTATTATCTGATCATCACCGAAATTTATTGGCGTTGTCCTTGACCATACCCGGAACCTCATGGAACATTTCAAAGCGATCAGCGATATAGTTTCGCTCCCTAGAGTGATAATGGGTTACTAAATAATATACGAATACGGAGATGCCTGTACATATTTAGGTGTAACTCCCACATCCGAGCACATACAACAATATAATTGGTCTTAATTTAAAGGTCGACCACTCCTCTTGGATATAATATCAACTTCTCGGGTTTATGTAATTCAGTGGTAAATATATATACTATAGAATAACATTTTTGTCATTTTTCACACAAAAGTCAGGGTCCATTTGACCCGCTAAATATTGACCGATCTTTATCAAAACATGCATGCTTATTCTTTGGCCCGATCCCCTTCTCCATGCAAAATTTCACGGTGTTTAGGCCATAATTGCGGCCTCTGGAGCGACCAAAAAACAGACAAAAATTTGTATTTGGTCCATTTCATCCCCTAAATATTAACCGATCTTTCCCAAAAACAACAGGGGTTTTCATTGGCCAGAACCCTTTCTACATGCAGAATTTCGTGAAGATTGCTCCATAACTGTGGCCTGTATCGTGTTTACAAATTATAATGGACAGACGGACCGACACACACATGTCCAGATCGACTCAGCTAGTCGAGATATGACGATCGGTATACTTGAAGGCGTTCCATGGGTTCTATATAGACAAAAAAGGAGTCATGATTGTGGATGACTCAAAGAAAGATTCAATCGATATTTTTCAGGGGCGTTAATTTTTTTAAGGAATATTTTTTCAAGGGCCATCCAACAAGGCGTGAATTTTTAAAGAATTTTTTTTAAATGCCATTTTTTTCTAATTTTTTAAGGGCCAAATCAAGGCGTGGATTTCTAATTTTTTTAAGGGCCAAGTCAAGGCATGGTTTTCTAATTTTTTTAAGGGCCAAATCAAGGCGTGGATTTCTAATTTTTTAAGGGACTTCTTACTTATATGTATTTGAAGGCCCCAAGGACTTATTATAGAAGACTTCAAGGGGGTCTTCTTCTTCTCATAGAAGCTATCAAAAAGGGGGAGTTTCTACTTCGAATAAATTTCAGGAGGATAAAATAGAGCTAAAAAGGTGCAAAAAATCTTCTTTACGGAAAAGGCCTGAATAAGATCCTATTTTTTTAACGGATTTCAAGATCTTACTTTTATATGAAGGCCTTAAGGGCCTCATCATCTGCCTATGTCCTTTCACCAGGTTACAGGAGGGCATTTCCTATAGCCTTCTCATTTTTAGATGGTCTTAAGATGTTTTTTTTTTCCTATAGAAATCCTCAAGAAGCAGAAAATTTCATGAAGGTATTTGTCATTCCGATTGCAACACCTCAAAATATTCACCAGGAACTCCCAATGTAGGTATATTCTTTATCAGTCTAAATTCTGTTTGTTAAAATCAGGTTGAAATCATAATGTAGATTTTCTAAAAATAAGTTTTTGAAGACCCACTGATGCGTAAATTTTCTAAAAACTATTTTTCAAAGCCCAGCTGAGAAAATATTTCTTAAGAAAGGTTTTCTAGAAATTATTTTTTGGAATCCCACCAGAACATAGTTTTCTTAAAAAATATTTCTTCAACGCCCATCAGAATGTAGATTTTCTAAAAATTATTTTCCTGAAGACCCATTAAAATGTAGATTTTCTAAAAAAAAGTTTCAAAGCTCAGCAGAGAGAAGATGTCTTATAAATCATTAATTTTTGGAGGCCTATCAAAACATAGGTTTTCTAAAAACAATTTTTAGGTCCATCAGAGCATAGATCTCTTAATAAATGTATTTTTTAAGGCTCATCTGAATGTAGTCTTTAATAAAAATATTTTTTGACGACCCATCAAAGCCTAAATATGAAAAAAAATAGATATGTTTTAGGAACCATTTTAAATTTTTAAAAATATGTTTTTTTTGAAGGTCGTCGATCTGTTAAAAATAAATTTTTGAAGACCCAGCACAGCGTAATATCTATTGTAAATATTTTTTCCGATTTTTGCAAGTCAATGATCTTTATGATCGTGATTATGTGCAATATATTTTTTATAGTACACCAGATTTTTATATTTTTATTATTTTCGTGCAAAACTTACCTAACTGGTGTTGTGGCTCCCGAACCACCACGTGATGAGCAATTTTGTCCATTTGGATGTGTGGGTGATGTATTGGATGTGTCATTGCCGGCTGATGTTGCATGCGATACCAACCAGGCATCCACAACCTGGCGTGTGGCTTTTCTGTAATGCAAGAAAAGAACAACAACAAAAATAAAGTTGAAATAAAACGAAAGCAATTAAATGGGAAAAATAACGATGTCAATCACCAAGGTTGAGAAGGGGAAGAGAATGGAAGCAATGATATGGGTTATCGTGCAAATATGTAATAGGACTTTTTTTGTTTTTAGCGTGGGCCATAATAAAACGTAACACATCAATACAATTTTTATTGTGAGATTTCATAATTTTTCTTATTACGAGTACACAAATGTGGACGATTTATCTTTGTTGAAGTTTTTTTTTTAATTGCAGATATGTGGGTGGATTTTCTTGAGAAAGGTTAGGTCAAAAGGCAGGATTTGAAAATAAAAATTTAATAATGAAACATAAGTCTGTAGAAGAAAAATTGGGTGGTTAAAGATAAATAAGCCATCTTGAATTAGGAAAATGAAAATTTGGAATCGATTTTTTCATTTCAAAAAATCTATTTTATGAAAGGTGATCTTAAAAATGTTATCGAAATTAATTTTTTCGATTTTTATAAAAGGTGATCTTTAAATTATTTCTCTTCGAAATGGAAAATTGTTTGATATTTTTTTAAATAAAATAATTTCCCTATAGATATCGAATTTTCCCACTTACCTTATAAAATAATCCTGAACAAATTCCTGATGTTCATCCATCCACGCCTCCATGCGTGCATATTCCGGATCATAGTGCCTCTGTGGTGATAATGGATTTAAACCTAATGTTGTTGTCTGTGTGCAGGATGATGGTGAGTAGCTATTATGTTGTTGTTGCTGCTGTTGGTGGTGGTGATATTGTTGCTGTTGTTGTTGATATGTGGCCAGGGGGACACCGGTACGATTATTTAATAATAAATTTTGTTCAGAACCATAGCCTGTGCCCCCCAGCTCCGTCGTCATTCTACCACTGCCAGCAGCACTGCTGCCACCACTGCCGGGACTGACATACAAATTTAGACTACTGTGAGGATTTGAATTGTAGGAATTATATTGAAATTGAGCAGAATTTGTTGTGGGTTCTTCAATGCTGCGCAAGTGTAGACCTGAAATGAGAAAAAAAAAATGGAGAAGGGAGATTAATAAAATTATTTCTAGAAATTTAAGGTTATATTTACAAAATAATCTGTAGAATTTTTCTTATACAAAAATATGTTTTTTTAAAAATTAATATAACATAGATATTTTTAAATTATTTTGTTGCGGATCCTTCAGAGATAAAAATTATTTTTTATGGTCCTTCAGAACGTAGGTTTTCAAAAAATATTTTTTTTGAAGACCCATGAGAGAGTAGATTTAAAAAAAAAATATTTTTTAAAGACCCATCAGAGCGTAGAATTTAAAAAAAATATTTTTTAAAGACCCATCGTGGATTTTAAAAAGAATTTTTATGAAGGACTAAAAGGCCAATAGGCCAATGGGAGTGGATTTTATAAAGAATTTTTATGAAGGACTAAAAGGCACAACTAAAAGGTCAATAGGCGTGGATTTTATAAAGAATTTTTATTATGGACTAAAAGGCCAATGGGAGTGGATTTTATAAAGAATTTTTATGAAGGACTAAAAGGCCAATAGGAGTGGATTTTATAAAGAATTTTAATGAAGGACTAAATGGCGTGGATTTTATAAAGAATTTTTATGAGGGACTAAAAGACCAATAGGCGTGGATTTTATAAAGAATTTTTATGAAGGACTAAAAGGCCAATAGGCGTGGATTTTATAAAGAATTTTTATGAAGGACTAATAGGCCAATAGGCGTGGATTTTATTAAGAATTTTTATGAAGGACTAAAAGGCCAATAGGCGTGGATTTTATAAAGAATTTTTATGAAGGACTAAAAGGCCAATAGGCGTGGATTTTATAAAGAATTTTTATGAAGGACTAAAAGGCCAATAGGCGTGGATTTTATAAAGAATTTTTATGAAGGACTAAAAGGCCAATGGGAGTGGATTTTATAAAGAATTTTTATGAAGGACTAAAAGGCCAATAGGCGTGGATTTTATAAAGAATTTTTATGAAGGACTAAAAGGCCAATAGGCGTGGATTTTATAAAGAATTTTTATGAAGGACTAAAAGGCCAATAGGAGTGGATTTTATAAAGAATTTTTATGAAGGACTAGAAGGACTAAATTATTATATTATATGTTAAATTTTGATTTGTGTTTTATTTTGAATTTCCTTCCTTCTTACAAGGTCACCAAATGTCATAGATTTATAAATCTCTCACCTGAAGAGCTAGCTATGTGCTTAATATTTTGTTTGTACAAATTAATCTCCTAAATAGATCCAACCTCATGCAACCCATTATTCAGGCTTTTAAGCTTATTTGCCAAAGGTACACAAACCGACCAACACACAACAACCCTTTTTTCGATTCCGAGAAAAAAAAAATAATAACCACATCTGTTCTCATATTCAAAGGTAAATATTGCAATGGAAATGTTACAAATATTTACATGGTGTATGTTGTGTATAAAGTGCTTGGGGAATGTTGTGTATGTTGTGTATAAAGTGCTTGGGGAATATGTAAGTGTATTTGTTGGCAAATATTACACCATATGCAAAAGATATGTTGTCACTTGTACTCAGAACATAAGTGCTCGAGACATAATATGACATGATGTTAGTTCGGTTGGTTATTCGTTCGTTCCGACTCTCAGAAGGTTAGCAAAGAACTTGATATAAATTACCCTATTTAATTCTGGCAGACACATTGGCTCCTGTTGGACATTCCTTACATTTTTATTATGCAATTCGAAGTACTTTGGGGAGGAACTCTTTCATATATGTAAAACATGCGATAATATCTCTCCTGAAGTTCCTCGAATCGCAACGAGAGTATGTTTAGATATACATATGATTATTAATAAAAATTGTTACTGATATTCTTAGGACTATCTAGTTACAATGTCCACTGGCAATTTTCAATGGAAAAGTATTACGGGTTTTTGAGAAATTTTCTATGGAGCATAGATTCTCAGGCGAAGGATACTTCTTGGAAAATGTCATTACCTAGGAATTGAGTTAAAAGGGGTTTTAAATTGGAATGTTGTAGAGATGTTGTAACAGTGATTTGATTTCCAAATAAATACCGAAGCAAATATTGTATTTAAAAATACAATATTTTTAAGTTCAATAGAAATCTTTTGAAGTACTATCCCAGATTTTTATACCCTACACAACTACGTTGTCAGGGTATTATAGCTTTGTGCAGCCCCAAAAGTTTGTAACGCCGCGAATTATTGGTCCTAGACCCACCTTTATGTATACCGATCGTCATATCTCGACTAGCTGAGTCGATCTTGACATGTGTGTCCGTCCGTCCGTCTGTTCATTATAACTTGTAAACACGATACAGGCCACAGTTATGGACCAATCTTCACGAAATTTTGCATGTAGGATGAGTTCTGGTCAACGAAGAAAGATCGGTTAATATTTAGGGGATGAAATGGACCAAATACTTAATTTTTGTTGGTTTTTCTGGTCGCTCCAGAGTCTGCAGTTATGGTCCGAACATCGTGAAATTTTACATGGAGAAGGGGATCGGGCCAAAGAATAAGCATGTCTGTTTTGATAAAGATCGGTCAATATTTAGCGGGTCAAATGGACCCTGACTTTTGTTTGAAAAATTACAACATTTTTATTCTGGGGCGTATATACTTGCTCCTGAAGGACATATACCTGAGAAGTTGGTGGTATATCCAAGAGAAGTGGTTGACCATTAAATTGATACCAATTATATTGTCGTATATATCCAGATGTGGGAGTTACACTTAAATATTTACAGGTGCTTACGTATTCATATATTATTTAGTAACCCATTACCACACTGGAGGGCAGAAACATAGCTTTGATCGCTTTGAAATTTTCCATGAGGATCCAGGTATGATCAATGACAACGCCTATAATTTTCGGTTATAATCAGATAATAATTTTGTAGATGAAATGGACCGAAAATTTATTTTTTTGTGTATTTTGAATCGATCTATAGGTCACAATTGAAAGCCCAACATCACAACATAACCCACGGTAAAGTGAATCTGGACAATTAAAGCCCTCGTCTACTGAATATTGTTTAGTGTATCATATTGTCGGCCAGTCCGACTATACTGCTCCGCTCACTGGTTTTAAAAATAATTTTTGAAGGACTATCAGCGTGCAGATTTTTTAAAAATGTTTTTTAACTGGCACAAGGTCAGCAGTTAAACAGCCCTATCCGTTCAGAGGTGATTAAAAGCCATGTCTGCGTTTGGCATTCCTGCAAAATAAATTCGAAATGACCTCTCGGAGCCCTTCAATATCGAACCAGGATTCAGACAATGTGACAGTTTGTCGTGCGACCTTTTTAACATCCTGCTGGAAAAGGTCATACGAGAGGCAAAAGTGGACAGAAATGACACTCTTTACACCAAGCAACACATGTTACTCGTCTACGCCGATGACATCGATATATATGTATATATATATATATATATATACCTTGGTACCGCCATAAATAAAGCGAATGACATCAGTTTTGAAATTCCTAGAAGGATTGTGATGGCCAACAAATGCTACTATGATCTAAGTAAGCAGTTTAGAAATAAGGCACACCTCCCGCCAGACTAAACTCACACTTTACAAGACGCTGATACTACCAGTGCTGTTATATGGATCTGAAGCATGGGTTCTTGCGCAAACAGATGAAGCAGCTCTTGGCGTGTTTGTGTGAAAAATTCTCCAAAAGATCTACTGGCCGATCTGCGTCGACGGTTAATATCGGCGTCGAATGAACCACGAGCTTTACAATTTATACGCGAACATCGTCATAGTCAGTCATATTGAGCTGCAGCGACAACAATGGCTAGGTCATGTTGTGCGAAGGAATGATAATGACCCAGCTCAGAAGGCATATAAAAGCTAGCCTACTGATGGTTCACGCAGAAGGGGAAGGCCACGAATTAGATGGAAAGACCAAGTAGAAGACAACATCTTCAAATTGGAGGAGATGCGCACAAGACCGAGGCGCCTGGAAATCATTTTTAAGCTCGGCTTATGGAACAACCGTTCTGTAACAAGCCAGCTATGTACAAGTAAGTAAGCAAAGTGTAGATTTAAAAGTATTTTTTAAAGGATTAGAAAGGCGTACAGTTTTTAGAAATATTTTTTTAAGGACTAGCAAGGCGTAAAGTTTTTAAAAACTATTTTTGTGAAGGATTTTGTGTAGATTCAATGCGTGTTTTTTTTAAATAATGTTTTGAAGGACTGTCAATGCGTGTTCTTTTTCAAATAATTTTTTGAAGGAATATCTGTTCATGAAATTTTTAAAAATTATTTTGGAAGGATTATCTGTTTGTAAGGTTTGTAAAAAAAATTTTGAAGGACTATCACCTCCCAAGTTTCAGTTTGTGGTGAGATTGAGTTTACTTTTCAACAATATTTTTGGGGTTCTCCCCTACCTCAATTTACCAATATTGACCCATGTGTTGGGTAACTCTCATATAATGATACCTCTCAACCATAAAGTTTCGAATTTAATATTTTGATTTTTCATTGGGTTTTCAACCCGTTTTGTAATAGACCCCATACAACGGTACCGGTCAATTAGGTATTATTGGGATTTGGTGCACAATTCTAAGCCGAATTTTAAATGAAATTATGAATATATGTCAATCTTTGGGTATAATCTCAATACAAAAGGTGCAACCCATTTTTAGGCATTTTGATGGGGTTTATTTTAATTGTATTTTGGCATTACGAAGTGACTGTAATTTGGAACAAAACGGCCTTTGTGGGCAAAC